ACCTTCCTTGACATGTGTCTATGGTGAGTAGACAGCCCGTGTGTGACTCTGTTTTGGGGAATGTGTGCCATGCAGGGAGCACAGGGCTACATGTCTCCCTAGCTGGTTTTTTTGGGGGAGGGGCAAGATAAGGTTATCACTAGAGAGATGGCCCCATGTCTTTCCTGGTAGGGAAGAGCAGTGTCACCATGCTGGAGGAGATAGCCCAGCTTTCAAGGTTATTTCAGTAGAACTAGAGACTTTGTGCCCTTGGCTGTGGTGTTGAAAGAGGGCAAGGTCATTTGAGAGCTTGGCACTACCTGGCTAGTTGGGTCATTTTATCTACAATCAGAGCTCATTACAATCCTGTAATACCCTTCAGGGCTACAGAGAAGGTTTTTCAGGGTAGGCTGGGCCAGCTGTAGTAGAGCTCTTTGGCGCTGAGTTTTCCCAAAAGGAGAGGTCCTGAAAAAGATATATCATTTGACTTCATTCAAGTTGGAGTTTGGCCTTTGGGGAGTGGTGCTACCATCTTACAGGGCTCCCATCTCAGGGATCAAGGGAGGGGCTTCTGTAGGCCAGAGGAGGGTCCAAGAGAATGAGATGGGGAGGTGAGAAGATGGGCAGACTTGGGAAGAGTGTTAAGTCAGAGGCGAAGGAGCCCAGAATACACTGAACCCCCTGAGACAAGGGATGTTGAGAGGGGAGAGGAGTGGCTGAAGAACGTGGGGAAAATTCAGGGGAGGTGGCAGCTCAGCCCTTAAAGAGACCTATTTTCTGCAGCTCTGACTACAAAGAACACTTTGAGAAGCGGGACCTCCTGGCCTTCTCAGTGGAGCCCCTCCTTGTGTACCCCACTCATTACACAGGGGACGATGGCTACATCAGTGACACAGAGACCTCAGTTGTGTGGAATAATGAAAAGGTGAAGACAGACTGGGATCGAGCCAAGTCCCAGAAAATGAAGGAGCAGCAGGAGCTGAGCAAGGAGGCCAAGAACTCGGATGTCTTACAGTCCCCACTTGACAGCACAGCCCGGGATGAGCTGTGATCCAACAGAGCTGTGTCTCAGAAGCCCCGAGGGCCTGGCACCTATTGGGAGCTGGGGTGGGCACAGCAGGGAGGGAGGGAGCAAGGGAGTAAGGGCAGAGCCCAGGCCACAGGGAGGGAGAACCTGGCAGCAGAACTGCACCCCACTGGCACCTCAGGCTCTGGGGAGACCTATCCCAAGATTATAAGATGAGCACCATGCTCAGATTGGGGGAAGCACGGTGGCACGCGCACACAGTGGAATCTTGATAAGTACATGACTGATTAATCCTGCAGTGTGCCCTACTGGAGAATGTGCTTTCCTCTTCCTTTGCATCAAGATCTAGGGACCTGAAGACCTGGAAGACCTGGAAGAAGAAGTTTGAAGTATTTTAATTTTTTTGGTTTCTCAGACCAGAAAACCCTGCAGAAACCACTCAGCTTCTGAGCAGTCAGTGACCTTCCCTAGACTGCGGCAAGCACCTCGTTTCCACCAGTGTCTGCCAGGGGTTCTTGCAGCCCTAAAGATTTTCTGAAGGTCAGAAAGCCAAATTTTTAGCCAGGCTTTGTCTCCCTGAGCACCATCGGGACACTGGCCTGTCAGCCTGACTTTCTGCCCTAGCATTCACCATTACTCAGGTGACCCTTTTGGTCTGGCTCAGGTATTATGGATGCATATGGAGAGATGATTAGGCTGCTCTGAATGAGGGAGTTGTTCTACGGGCCTTGCAGCTGGCAGCAGGGCTAAAGGGGCCCCCTCTGGGTGAGGGCTCTGGGCAGTAGCACCTTCCTGCCCCATCTGCCCTCATGGATTTATGGTGACATTTTCAGCATCTCACCAAAACTAAGTTATCTTAACCTAAAATCTAATTTCTACTTCATGGGAAAAATTGATCTAATCATTGCTGGTGTCTGAGATCCTTTCTAACTTTCAGTCCTATGATCCTGGGTTCCCTTTGGCTTCCTTACGTAAAGAACACATTCATCTTTTACTTCCAGTGGGCTGGCTACCTTTTTTTTTTTTCTCTCTGCTGTCAGCCAGCTCAGGGGGGTGAGATGATCAGAGTAGACTGTCATTGCAGACTGCCTTACTCTACTGGTTTCAAAGGTCTTCTTATTGGGGGATGGACTAGATTGTTTCTTCAGTTAATTTCTCCATTACCTACTTGACCCATCAGTCACCAGAAATTCAGAGGATGATGGCCCTTTTTTTTGAGGCGCCTGGTGTGCCTTTTTATAAGCCTCCTACTCCCACTCCCACCTTGTCTTCTGTTAGCCCAGATGAAACAGTGTTAGGCTGGGAACTGCTTGCTTTTATTGCAAGTGATTGTTTTTTGTACAGTGTTTTTGTAAATGTTTTGATGTTTCTGTAAATTTTTTAAAAAAAATAAATTGCTTTCTTGCTGTTGTCTTTTTTTTTTCTTGGAATAAATATTTGCTTAAGCGATTTTATTAGTGGGGTTGTCTAGGGCTAGGATTATGGGGAGGAAATGAAAGGCATCTATCAGTCAATAAACATTTATTAAACTTATCGTGTACCAGGCACTCACTAAGCTCTAGACATAGAAAAGTAAGCAGCCACTTCCCAGGGTGGAGGAGCAAAGGATCATGGTATTGAGAAGAGGTTATTGGCCATTTTCTGTGAGTGAGTGCTCATGGTAGAGATTAGGTTAGAGGTGATTTTAGAGGTGATTTCTTTGCTGAGTAGGAAAAGGATTTAGTAGAAAGGAGCATGTGGTTAGAGGTCCTTTCATTTGGGGACACTAGCTCTGGGTAGGGAGAATAGATGGAGAAGCCATTTACTAGGATGAAGGCCCACTCCCATTAGGAAAGGCAAAAGCTTGACCCAAACATGTCTACTCTAGTTCTTTCCTCATCACATCTTCTCTGGACTGTTGGCAACCATATTCCTGTTTTCAGGCCGTACTTTCTGCTTTACCCTGCACACAGCCACCAAACTGATATTCTCGATCTGACCAACATTCAAAATTCAAATTTTAAAACATTCCAATATACAAAAATCTTCACTGGCTCCCTATCATGTCTAAGTTAAAATGGAAACTGAGTATGGCATTTAAAGCTCTTCACAATATGGCTCCCATCTACCTTTCCAATCTTAATTCTTACTACTCTTCTTCAAACACTTGCCTGTCAATCTGGCTTGCTGGTTTTCTCTGAATATGATATTGAGTCACCTGCCTTCCATGCCCAAATCTCACTCCTTTCTCACCTCAACCTTTTGCCCTCCCTCGATTTTTGTTTTTGCTTTTTGTTGAGGTAATCAAGGTTAAGTGACTTGCCCAGGGTCACACAGCTAGTAAGTGTCAAGTGTCTGAGGCTGGGTTTGAACTCAGATCCTCCTGACTCCAGGGCCAGTGCTCAATCCACTTTGCCGCCTAGTTGCCTTTCCTAGCTTCTTTTAAAGCCCAGATGAGGTGCTGCTTTTTAAAAATGCCTTTCCTGTTGTTCCCAATGGTTGGAATTCTTTTCTTTTTGAAATGACTTTGTCTACATTGCGTTATCTTATTTGTACACACAGTATCTTCTGCAGAATATAAGCTCTTTGAAGTTAGGTACCTGAGCTCATAGCTTGCTGGGGCTGTTTGAATTTCTCTGGCAAGGACAACTCCAGGCCTTTCAGAATTATCTTCTCCATGTCAGATCAAGGCAAATCTTCAGAATTTTCCTCTCTCTGGTGCTACAGCTCCCTTCTGTCAGACCTCTTTCCTTCTCCTTTCTTCTCCAACCCCAAGTCTTCACTGGTAACCAATTCTACCTTCCAGTATGTCGTCCCTTTGGACATATTGCCTCTATACTCTTTTATTAAACACATTTCCCTCTGGGAAAAAGAAGAGATCCCAGGATCCAATAAAGGTGCAGGGCCTCAGGACCTAAAGAGAGGGATGTGCTTAGGTCTCATTCATCCAGGGCCACCTGGCAGATGGAAGAAAGCAGATACTGCAGCTTGAAAACTTGGGACAAGAACCTCTAATTGGTGCCGAGCACCACTGGGTGGCGGCACTAACACTTTTCTTGCTACAGCAATGTGATTGACAGATAGGCACAGTTGTGTTTCCATGTGTGTCCACAAGGTGGCTCATAGGTGTGAGTGAAGGTCAGACGCTTTCAACGGTAATTAGAGTAATTTGTCTTTCCAGGGACTCAGGAGAACCCTTAATCCTGGTTTGTTATTTACTAGGGGCAGCTAGGTGGTGGTGCAGTGGGTAGAGTGCTAGGACTGGAGTCAGGAAGACCCATCTTCCTGAGTTCGAATCTGGTCTCAGACACTTAGTAGCTGTGTGATCCTGGGAAAATGACTGAACCCTGTTTGCCTCAGTTTCCTCACTTGTAAAATGAGTTGCAAAGTGCTTTTCTATCGTAAGTTGCTACACAATGCTGCTGATTGGCTATGTCTGAAAAGTTATTAAAAAAAAAAAGTGTGCCTAGGAAGCCACCACTGCTAGTAATAAGTTAGCAGTCTTCCTTAATATGCTAATGAATTTATTTGCTTTAGGTTTGGCCTGCAATCTTTAACCCACAATCCTCAAACCCCGACTCATGGGTAAGCCTCTCCAAAGAGGTCCCATTGCTCTTAGACCAGAGAATTCCCTGACAACCTTCATCCCAATTCCTTGAGGGTTCCAGGAGCAAACCAGAAAAAAGAAATGTCAACTGCCCTTTGTGGACTGACCAAAGCCAGGTGCCACCACCCAAAAGCTGAGAGAGGCCAGAGGGGATGCTACACGTAGCTATGTACATTTGTGACACTCCCCTCCCCCCCCATATTGGTTGGTTGGTGTCCTTTGTTCTTGGAGAGGACCAAGATGACATCACCAGAATGTAAGCTCCTTGACAGCAGAAACTGGTTTTTTTTTTTGTCTTTGAGCCACCAGACCTAGCCCAAATACTTGTTGAATTGATTTGAAGAGCAGAGCAAAAACTGAACGAGGCATAACTTATTCATGAACACAAAGTAGCAGCACCCAGCAGTGTATGATACAACCAAGAAAAACCATTTATTACAGATACAATTGTGTTAAACTTTTTTTTTGGCTGCAGGATAATGGGGAGGGGTAAAGTGTTTGGTATCTCAGGGCTTTAGCTGAGAAGAAGAGGTCAGTCTTATCTGCAAGCTCCACCCCCTAGAGAACACCTGTCTCTTCCCATCAGCAAAGTGTGAATCCTGTTTTATCTGTGTCCTTCCAAAGGCTAGAAGAGGATCTCCTTCTCACTGAATGCAGGATCCTGCCTTCCTCTTGTTTTCTCTCTTCCCTTCCCTCCTTCCTTTCCCCTCCTTTCCACCCTCTTTCTCCTCTCCTTATCTCTCCACCCTGTTCCCATACCCCCCCTTCACCTTCCCATTCCCTCCCTTCTGGACTCCCCATTTACCCTCAGGTCCCTTTCCTGTTGCTTCCCTAGTCCTTTCTCTGCCTCTAATCCCCATATGGAACTCCTTTCCTCTCCCCAAAGGGTATCCTGCTAATTTTGTCGCATATATATTTTGTCACCCACCCCAAATTCCCATGACTCTGCTAGGCTCAGGGAATATCGAGCCTTTCCCCTCCCTCCCTGTGCCCTGTCTGACTCTCAGGCCTTGGTGAGCTTGGGCTCATCCCAGTGAAAGCCGATGCCAGTGAGACCATAATTATTGTGGTGCCCACTGATGTAGCTTAGGAAGGCTCCTCGGAAGTGGGGAGTAGCGTTAAAGGAATTGCCTGCTGGCTGCCCAAAAGTGAAGAGACGGTGATAGTTGGTGATGAATATCAGTTGCTGGATGTAGTAGGAGTAGTATTTGCCTAGGACTTGAACGATCATCTCATTCTTCTTGAGGAGAACCTCGTGGCTCAGTCCTGACTTGCAGCCATGTAGTTCGCTCCAGGTGTGGGAATACTGGAACTGAATGCTGTGGAGATGGAGGGTGAAAGTAAGTGGGAGAAAGAGCTGAGAAGGGTCGGGAGGACAGGTGCTAGTGCCCTTGGAATGAGCTAATGCTCTCACATTAGCTCAGTAAGAACATAGGGCACGGGGCAGCTAGGCGGTGCAGTGGGTAGAGCACCAGCTCTGGAGTCAGGAGGATCTGAATTCAAATTTAGCCTCAGACATCTGACACTAGCTGTGTGAGCCTGGGCAAGTCATTTAACCCCAAATGCCTCACCAAAAAAAAAAAAGGAATAAAGTATATGCCACTTTAAAAAAAAAGAACATAGGGCAGGTGGGAAAGGGAGGTGAGGGAGAAAAGGAAGAAACCTCTTGAGGTGCAATGTGGCAGAAGTAGGAGGAGGAGGTATCAAAGGCCACAAGGGGGTTGGAGGGGTCAGGAGGCCAGAAGTCCTGGGTGAGTAGACAGGATGGTCAGGAATACAAGGCAGGCATAACAGGAGGTCACATGACAAGCTGATAGAGGCTACTGTGAGCCCCAGACCCTTACCCATGGATGATCCCACTGCTTTGTTCATAGATTCGAAATCCAGTTATCCTGCCTCTTCTGTGCTCCCCTGAGAGTGAAAAGCTAGTTCCCCCTCCACTTCCATATTCTCCAGAAAATGAGGACCCTCGCTGTTGACCTGGAAGCAGGAAGGGGAGAAGGGCTGGGCAATTTCTGGCCTCTATGGGGAGCTAGATAGTAACAACTTACAAATATTGTGCATGTATTATTTTACAGATATAGAAAGACACTAAGACTAGAAGAGGTTAGATCTGAGAGTCTATGAGTCTGTAGACCAGATATACCTTCCTCCTCCCCAGGCAAGCTGCTTGTATTCGATGTTGGTTTCACTTCTCCAGGGTTTGCTTTTCATAGTCACACATTCTGAGAGTTGGAAGAAACCTTTTTTTTTTTGGACATTCATTTTCTTTTTTGCTCTTTTGCTTTTTGCTGAGGCAATTGGGGTTAAGTGACTTGCCCAGGGTCACACAGCTAGTGTCAAGTGTCTGATGCCAGATCTGAACTCAGTTCCTCCTGAGTCCAAGGTCAGAGTTCTATCCTCTGTGCCACTTAGCTGCCCCAAGAAACTTTAAAGATCGTTTAAAAATATGAATTCTCCAGTTAGTGAACTAATTCACACTGTAATGTAAATGACTGATCAGACTATGGGTGCAGACACTGGATTATCCGCTGCATGCAAATTTCACAGCCCTCACATGAGGGTGCTGGTGAGACTGAGTGGGAGATGGGAATAAAAGGGGTGGTGATGTCAAAAATAGGGGCCAGCAATGAGATCAATACTGAGAAGTTAGGAACAAGGATCAGAGATGAGGGCCAGGGATGGAGACTAGTCCTGAGAGATGGGTCAGATGTGATCTGGGGGTGGAATTGAACCAGTAGCAAGACGAATATATTGTAGAGGCATCACTCACCGTTGTCCTCAGCAGTGACAGTCACCGGAAGGGTGAAAAGGAAGAATATCAGCATCAGCATCATCTAAGGCAAGGAGAAAGTGGAGGTCAATGTTGCCCCAAAAGCTCTTGCCCTCAAAGCTTTATCTCCTCTTCAGCTAAGAATGTCAAGAGAGTCTGGGGATAGAGTACCACTATGAGCAGCCTTCTCCCTAAGAGCTTTGACTAACAGAGTGATCCTCTTCTAGAGATATTTAGGGAAGGGGGTGAGGTGGTAATTGTAAGTCCTATCTAGAGAACTTTGGGAATACTGAGAGAATCAGCATGCCCTTTCCCCTTGAAAGAGTTTTGATGAAGGCAGGGAAGGCATCAGTATTATAACCCTTGCCCTGGCAAGAGCTGGGGTAATGGGTTCTTCCGGTGGATTCTCCTGAGATTAGGAAAGTGATGTAGTTAGTGTGGCCCTACCTGAAAGTCAAGAGTTAAGAGGAGAGGGTCAATGTAAGCTTCCAAAGAATTCAGCGGGAGAGTTGACGTGAGCTCTTTGAGAAGCTCAGAAGGGGGTCACTGTGAACTGCCTCAACTTTGCCTATGTCCCCCAGCCCCTAAGACTTGGTGGTAATTTTAGTGACTGAGGGTGAGGATTCCCCCGGGAGATATGATCTCTGTGTTAGTAGGGGAACATCTGTCTGATGACAAGCAGGAAGCTTCTTCCATCAATTCCTGTTGAAGATCCCATATTCCCAGATCAGAGCTTGCACTGGGGTAAATTAGAACCACCCTGATAATTGTCTCAGAGTGATCAGTTGATTGTAGAAAAATGGGTCACTCTGTAAAATAAGATCTTGTGCTACAATGAAATACCATGTAATGCAACACAGTATAATGTAGCCTAAGGTGTGTGACATTGTGTAACATATGATAGCACAATGTGACAAATTTGCACACTCCATCAGCATTGGCTCCTATGATCAAGCCTAACTCTCCTGAGCTTCTCCCCAGCCTATTTCCTTCACCTTGCACCTTATATTCCTCCCAAATTCTCCCAAGGTTAATTTCCCACCCCTATTATTTGTTGTTGTTCAGTCATTTTTTAGTCATGCCTGACTCTTCATGATCCCATTTGGGGTTTTCTTGACAGAGATCCTGGAGTGGTTTGCCATTTCCTTCTCCAGCTCATTTTACAGATGAGGAAACTGAGGGAAATAAGGTTAAATGACTTGCCTAGGGTCACACAGCTAGTAAGTTTCTAAGGCCAGATTTGAACTTAGGAAAAGGAGTTTTCCTGATTCCAGGCCTGTTACTCTATGCACTGTACCACCTAGCTGTTCCTCCCACCCCTATTAATATGTCAAAGTCTGGGCCACCCTGAGACAAGAGAGAACTTACCTTTCTTCACTCTTTATGACTGGTCCTCAATGCTTCCACAGAGTGTCCAGGCAGAGTCCTGTCCTTTCTGCCCCTTAAATGGCAACCCACTCAGTCCTGGCAGTTGTCCAAACCCACAGAGCCAATCCCTCTGTCTGTTCATCTCACTTCCTCATCCATATCTCAAGTCTCAGCCTCCTGAGTTCTTGAATAAGAACAGCACTGAAGGTACAGGACTTGGGAATGGGGCTCCTGAGCTTGGGAGGGAAACGGAGCTTCCTGGAATCTGAGAATTTGGGGATTTAAAGGAGGACACCCAGTTCAAGTCCCACCCTGAAATATAATCTCCTTCTGTAATATCTCCCCACTTCTCCTGTCCCCCACCCCCATCTAGTTTCTACTAGAAGACCGTTAGTGACAGAAGCAACTCACTGTTTTCTATTCGGCCTTGGGACATTTTCTAATTACTAGAAAGTTTCTCTTTATGCTAAACCAAAGTCTGCCTCTCTGTACCTTCTCTCATCCTCAGCATTGATCCTAGTTCTATCTTCTGAGACTAAGCAGAATAAGTCCAATGCCTTTTTCCCATGAGTAAAGTGCTTAGCACAATGCCTGGCACATATTAGGTGCTTAATAAGTTCTTATTCCTTTCCTTTGTTTCTCTTTTACAATTCTTGGGGGAGGGGTCCTATTGATTCTCATAGGGTAGTTCCCTCAACATCTTGGCCTTCCTCTGGACACACTCTGTGATGTCACTGTCCTTCCTAGAATGTGATGCATCTGGAATATCATTTTCCAGATGTCTAGAGCAGAGTACCATCAACCACATTTTGTTTTTGTTTTTGTTTTTTTGTTTGTTTGTTTATGGAGGCAATCAGGGTTAAGTGACTTGCCCAGGGTCACACAGCTAGTAAGTGTCTGAGGCTATATTTGAACTCAGGTCCTCCTGACTCCAGGGCAACCCCATTTTGAGCACTATTCCTCTATCTTTGCAGGGTATTGGGAACTACGACCTTTGATAGACTGGGACTGATCAGGAGAAATAGAACCAGAGTCTAACAATTGACTCTTCCCCCACTCAAAAAAAAAAAAAGAATATATCTGTGATACATTTTAAAGTTTAGTCTGCATTATCAATATTTCTCCTATCACTTTCTTAAGTTTAGAAATAATAAAACAATAAATCAAGCCCTGATTTGTAGTGTTTGTAGAATTCCAATGTGTAAATGCTCACACTGAAAAATTAAGAATCAGCTCTTAAGAGCTTGTTGGCAGTGGTTCCAGTATGCCCTTGAATGTGCCTGTAGGACGGGTATGTGCTTTCTCTCCATGAGACCTGAGGCAGCTCACTGGGGGCTGGAGGCAAGACAGACATTTCCATTGGAAGCTCCAGGGGCCTAGTAGGGTCTTCTATTTTTTTTTCTCATGGTCTTGAGGCATTTATTTGGACCCAGTTCCATCTTACTTGTATATCTTCCATGGAAATACTATTTGACTGAGTCTACAGAGTTTGAGACATTCACTCCTCTTTGTCCTGCACCCAACCATTGTGATTTGTGGCCTGAGTTTGGTCTTGGGAAAGCCTGACCTCCAATTAGGGGGCTCCCCATTCTTGAACTGACCCTGTAATTTCAAGTCTTCCTAAAAGAGAGAGGGAAGGTACCCAATGTACAAACATGAATAGGGTGTGGGTCAGGTAGTTTATTCCTATATAGAAAAATACTAAGCATAAAAAAATCATACCACACATTAATAGAATAATTAGAATAAAGTAACAACTTATAACTAGGTTTACAGTCAGTTAGGAGGCTAACATTTACCTCACTGGGACATAAATATCTATCCATTTGACATTCCACCTAGACTGGGCACTATCTGAGCAAACAGCCAAGCCTGACTCAGTGTTTTCAATGACCGACTCCTCTGATACAGCAGCTTCCCCTTTCATCATCCACTACTTCTAAGGGGACATTACTGCCTCAAAGCCCTCTCAGCACCTTTGGAATTCACAAGGTCATCTCTAGTCCTGGATGAGGTACTCTTTCTTTTTTTAAATTATTTATTTATTGTTAGTTTTCAACATTCACTTCCATAAGATTTTGAGTTCCAAATTTTCTCCCCATTTCTCCATCCTCCCACCTCAAGATAGCAAGCAATTTGATACAGGCTCTACATATACATTCATATTAAACCTATTTTCATATTGGTCATGTTGTAAAGAAGAATTAGAACCAATGGGTGAAACCACAAGAAAGGAGAAGCAGAGAGAGAGAGAACAAATAATATGCTTCGATCTGTATTCAGATTTTATAGTTCTTTTTCTGGATGTGGACGGCATTTTCCATCATGAGTCTTTTGGAGTTGTCTTAGATGCTCGCATTGCTAAGAAGAGATAAGTCTATCAAAGTTAGTCATCGCACAATGTGGCTATTACCATGTACAATGTTCTCTTGGTTCTGCTCACTTCACTCAGCATCAGTTCATATAAGTCTTCTCAAGTTTTTCTGAAGTCCACCTGCTCATCATTTCTCATAGCACAAACTAACTACTACAGGAATGCAGAATGACTTGAAGGAAGCCAAGAGGTGGAGATGAGGAGGCAGAATATTCCAGGCATGGAGATAAACCAGCGAAATTTCCCAAATGTGACAAAGATGGCAAGGAAGCTAGCATCACTAGATCAAAGAGTATGTGGGAGGGGAATGGGGCTGGAAGGTATAAGAAGATGGGAAAGATGGGGAGGGCAGGTTTTTAAAGGCTTTGAACATGGAAAAAAGGATTTTATATTTGATCCTAGAGATGATAAGAAATCTCTGGAAGTTATTGGGAGTAGGGGTTGGAAGGGGACAAATGGAGGGCCAAAAAATTATACGCACATTTTCCAGACTACAGGGGCACTGTGCCCCAATCCTCTCAATGTGGAAGGAATAACTGTAAGTACATCAGGAGATATTGAGCTTTCAGTAAGACCTAGAGCACTGCTGACCTCAGCTGAGTTATTTTCTAGACTTGAAGTTTTCAGGTTGCTAAACCCCAGCAGAAAGGAGAGCTCTGCCTCAAAGGGGAGAAGGTTATTTCTCTTGCTTTGTTTTGTTATTTCTATCTGTTAACAGATCTGTTCCTTCATATATGCTTCTCATCCTTATTGCTTATAAGAAGTAGTAAGATTAGAGACATGAAACTCTAGGGAGACAAGCAGCCAAATTCGTAATATTCCCCAGGGTTACCATGGTGGGGGGCTGAGCCATGATTGAGTTATTGTTGAGGATCCACAAAGATCTGAGCTGGTCCACATCAGTTTGGGGCAGATTCTAACCCATGGGTCATAGCAGGCTAAGACCTGCTATAGTTTTTGACTGCCACATCATCCTGTTAACTACAGTCTGAATTTACAGCCCACTAAACTCCTCAGGGTCTTTTTGCATAAACTGTTATATATTCAGCTCTTCCCCTCTCCAATACCTTTGAAACTGATCTTTATGCTTCTTCTTACTGCATTTCATCTTCCCCTCCTTGACCCATCATCATGTTCCTCTTAACCTTGGGCAGCATTCCTAGACCTTTCCTTGTTTGTCCTCTCAACCTCGACATAGCTCCACTTTTTGTTTTTCTTGGAATGTTTTCATCTGCCCTAACTCATTCTGGCCTTTAGTCCTCCTTGACGTTAACCTTATGTTTCCAGGCTTTTTTCATGTAACTCCCCTTTGCATAGTCTACATTTTAGCCAATACTTACTGTTTCCTGAACTTGGCATTTATTTCCCACCTCTGTGCCTTTGAACAGACTGTTTTCCATTCCTGGAATTCACTCCATCCTCAACTCTATCTCTTCAAATCCTGAGCTTTCCTCAAGTCTTAGTTTCTGTGCCATCTCCTATAGTCCTGCTTCTCCTAGTTTAGTGGTTCCCAACATTTATTATTCCTTGAACCCCTTTCAACACAACAGAATGTGTTTCAAGAACAATAGCAACAAAAATCCTCAGGGAAATTTAACAACTTATAATATGCTATTAGATTTATTCATTAAGTGTTTACAATAACTACGATAATAACTTTTGCCTCCAAAGCTCCAAATCAAAATTTATGTAATACAATTATAATTGTAAAATATAAAAATTTTAACCTATAATTATAAAAATTCTAAATGTAAAATGATAAAACTCTGATTGTAAAATAATTATGAATATTTTATGTGGGACAGTCCATAAGAATTAAAAGAAGCAATCCAGCAATATCTTTTATGTTTACTATGATCTGCAAGACTTCATATTAAATTTCTTTATTTATCACAGAGGAAAAATATATTTGTAACATAATAGGGCAATTATTTACCGCTTAAGGAGCTGTTAAAGAACCCCTTGGACCATCATTGAGAATCTGGAAAGAATTCTCCCAAGAGGAGAAGAATCCCCATTCTAGTTGTTAGTTTCTTTCTTCTTCAAATGATCATGTATGTAATGAATTTATTTAACATGATAGCCCTCAGTAATGTTATGCAACTTCTACCCATGCTGGATAGCACCTTTTCTGCAATTTATAATCTTGAAAAGGCACCTGGAGCATTGAGAGGTTGGGTTTTTGCATACCTATTTATCTATCTTTTACATATATATAATATTAAATATTTACATGTTTATAGGTATATCAAAATAAATCGAGACTTTAGTTTTATTTTGCTTTTTGTCCATAGAGCATAACATAGCAACTTGTGTATAGTAGGCACTTCATAAATGCTTTTGGGATCAGATTGTATCATAGGACCACACTCCTCTTTTATATTTCTTGTAGAATCTGGTCTACCATTTTGGTCTACCTATCCTTTCTTTTAACTCTTTGGATCTCTTTTCCCAAGGTCTAGGTTACATATCTGACTATCTCTGGTATTCTTTTCCTTTCTATCATGAGCTCCAAGATGGCATGATCAATGCTGTTCTAAAGGTTCCTATCCTCTCCACTTCACTAAGCAATCTTCCCTTACTCAATAAAATATAATTTAAAAAAAAAAGAATCAGCTGTCTTCTCACTGCATGTCACATCTGTTCCCTGCATGTATATTCTTCCATGTGAATTCCCTAGGTGAATGTATCTGTAGTGAGA